CGAACCACCCCAGTTTCGATGGCTGGCTCTGCTTGCCTGCACGCACACCGGCCAACATACGCCCAAGTCAGTACCCTTTCCCACCCCGCCTACCATCGCCGCACCGCTGCCAACGGCACCCGCATCAACACACTCCCCCACTTCACCAAATCCATCCACCGCACTTCGCACCTCCAGCCTCATTCCACCTCATACTCCCCTCTCGCACCCCACCACCACCGACGTCCCCAACAAACCATCACGACCACAATGCTCCCTCTTCACATCTCTGCGACTCTCAACACACTTACTGATGCATGTGTCGTGCTCGCCGATGTACAGCAGATCGCCACCACACTGACAGTCGTACCCACCCCATGTGTTCGTACACGTGCAGTCTGGACACTGGCACTTGGTCCTCCTCGTACATTCGTTAATGTCTGCACCGCACACCAACACCACACGTCATTCTCTACACTCACCACAACTTCCCTCCCTCCCATCCGCTCCCCGCAACCTGTCTCCCCATACTCTTCATAAACCATCCCATCGCAAACATCTCTCGTGGTTAATCACTGTTGAGTGTGCGCGTCTCCTGCGACTCCGCGCACGAGAACCATCACCCGTAACCAGAACACAGTCCCATACCTACGCAGCCGTTTGTGGTGTTCTTGCCGTCACCCTCAAAACCCACCGGGCATTTGCACCCTGCGTTATCATCCTGCCACCAACCACAGCCCCAGTCACTACGCGAACCCAGACACACGCCCACGACTACCGGACCCCACACCTCCGCATACATACTGCGTGCACTCAACACCGACACTGGGTCAATACCTCCGCTGCAGTTCTACAACCTCCGCATCTGCACATACCTCCACCCTCCTAATTTGCAAATCCTGCTTCATCACACCGTGACGTCCAGCAACAGATATTGCCCTGCTGGAAAGGCTCACCGCCTACCCAACTGCGAGGACGACTGCCTCATCAAACGGAAAACTTAAAAACCTCCTACACCACGAAACCTGCCGAAACCGATACCTGGCAAGCTGATTTTGTGACCCCATCTCGATTTTCCTGCCAGCACTCTCCGTTGCCGATCTTGCACCGACCAGGTCCCTTGGCTGCTTCACCCCACAACCATGTCACAATCAATTCACGCCACAAACACCACAAGCATCCATTCTGCTTCAACATACACGCTCCAAACCTACACAACATCATCTCCTGCCACCCATCCTAACAGCGACTAAAACCCCAAAACCCAAATCATCCGCAACTCATTCAGCTACCACCCTACACAGCACATGCCTCCTACCTTCACAGTGCGTGTAACCGTCACCCTCAAACTGCACGCCCTTCACCAACGGACACTGACAAACCCGACCACGGAACGTGTCCTGCACAATCAACGCGTACATAGCCCGTCAGCACAACCTGCTTTCCGACTCCCATTCTCCAACACTATACATCACATCCCTCCACATTCCAACGCGCCTGCTCCCCTGCCCCGCTCAAACCTGCACGCCCACGCCCACGCACCAAATGCACCACGATACGCCTTACACCTATCTACCGCATTACCTGGCATGCCGTTAGGTCGCCACTGCTCCAGCATCCACCGTTGTTCTCCAAGCACTCGTTTGTTTGCAATGTATCGCTCAAACAAGCTGGCGGGTCTGAAGCCTCTTCGAAACCGCTGCAGATGGCCTTCAACACCGCCGACTTGTCCAACTTCCCTGCGGCACCACCATCCAACCTCTCGCTCATTCACCGCACCACTATCTTCCCATCCCACTTTCTGCCTTTCTACCTCACGCATTACCACCTCCATCATCCTCATCCACAAACATGGATC